TTTTTTTTTTTTTTAATATAAATGGTTAGTATCAATACGTGACCATGACTCAATACTATTTCTATTATAAATATTAAAAAGAAATATATATATGTATGATTTATACTATAAATCAAATATTCATAGATACCGTGACCTTTTACTTTTTTTTTATTTTTTTTAATGATTTTTTTATGATACAAAATACCAACAACCATGTTTTCAATATATATATATATTAAAATATTAATATGCAATCTCAAAAAAGTAACCTTGATCCTATAACATCGTCGTTTATTATATTAATACTTTTAATAATAATAAAATTAAATAATATAAATATGAATAAGGAGAGTTAATAAAAAAAAAAAATTATAAAGGATTACCCTCTCTAAAAAAAAACGAAACAAAGAAAAACAACAAATGTTTAGAAAAATATTCGATAAAAATGAAATGAAAAATGGTATAAAATGAAAAAAGAAAAAAAAAGAAAATGGTAAAAACGATTGAACAAAAACAGATGATGATAACAAAAATTATTCTATGTATGTGTAATTTGTTGCTTGGTTTTTTTTTTTGTTTTTTTTTTTTATTAATTACAGATGACGATATAATTGAACACGTACCGGTTTGTACCACCAGTGCGGCTATTCCATGTTTGATTGCAAATGCACGTGTGATATTAATTAAAAAGGAACTAGAGAGATGGTAAGGTACAAAAAGGTATAAATAAAGCTACAATTGGATCATTAAACAAATTGAATTTACCGTAATTTTTGTCTGTCCAAGTGCAGGAGGTATGTCAAGATCTTTTGGTATGAGAACGTGTCCAAAGTTTTGTTTGTATTTGACACACCATACAGCAAGCCAGTCGATGTCATAGACGGTTACATTAACTGGTAAAACTATTTCAATATCTTCTCCTTGATATCCTCTCAATGGTTCCAAACTGTTACAAATAAACAAAAATAATTTATATTCAATAATTTATATTAAACAAGTACTTATATATATATATATTGTTTGATTAATCAATTTTACAACACTTTAATCAAATGAATTATTTGTATATGGTATTTTATAGGAAAAGGTGTTGGTATTAATTAGGGTACTTGTTCTAATAATTTAAACACCTTTCCCCTCCCTCATGATTTTTATAATATATATATTATAATATATCAAAATTAATAAATATATTAATATATAAATATATAAAATTAATATATATATATAATAATTTATTATATATAATATTAATATTATATATTAAATAGCAAGTTTATATTGTTATATTATTATATTATATTATTTATTATATTATTATTATTATATAATATAATATATATACATATTATTAATACATAATATTTTATTATATATATATTATATTTTATATATTATTAATATATAATATAATATATATAATATTATATTAATATAAATAATAATATNATATATTATTAATATATAATATAATATATATAATATTATATTAATATAAATAATAATATAATAATTTATATAATTATTATTTATATTAATTAAATTATTATATTAAATATATAATATATTAATTATTATATATATATGTAAAAGGTAAAATAAGTTTATTTCAGGTATACCCTCCTTTTAGGGTGTTTACCCCGAAGGCCCCCCCTACAAAAATAAAATAAATTTTATTTTTCACGACTGTCGGGATTCGAACCCGGGATATCTCTTGTTGCGAATCCGAGATTCTAGCACTGAGCCACCGAACCATTCTTTATATATATATATGTATATTAAAATGATATTAAATGGCAAGTTTAAAATTGATAAAAATGTATTATATATAATTGTTTAATTATTGTATTATTACTGACCTTCCTATTTCGTTGGGTACTTTAGTGCCCAAAAGATGTGGCTCTGTGCCAGTGCCAACCCAAAAATAGGCATCTGGACCAGCACCGTCGTAATGCAAATTTGGAATATAGATAGTTTTACTATCGAGGATGCTGATATTACCGCTACGAAGGCCGTGTGCCAATCTTGAAAATTCAGGCAACACTCGTGGCTTTGGTGGATCTAAATTCGGTGGAATGAAAATATCACCGAAATCGACCTGTAATAAAGAAAATTTAAACAAAACAAATTAGACAACTAGAAATATTTTCTAATTTTTATTATTGTTTTTTTCTTTTTTTTTTAATTAATTATTTACCAAATATACAATATTTTTTTTTTTCATTTTACATTACTGTAAAAGGATCGTACTTTTATATACATTTATCCTTAATTAATTTCATTGACTGTGAACTTGTCGTAGATACATCGACATGGTTTTCTTTATATATATATACAGTGACTATATATTTATGTATATATATATATATTTACATCCCCATATATGTATATTTACATCCCCGTATAAAGTCGTTGAAAAAAGGCCGATCTATCATCCCCTCCTCCCAACCCACCCTTGTCGTTAAAGTTGACGTCTCGATGAGGGGGTTAGAGTCGTTTATATTTCAAGTTCTGTCAAATGTCTAAAAGCCAAAGAGTGAAAGAGAGAAAGAGAGAAAGAGAGAGAGAGAGAGAAAGAAAATAAAAAAGGAAAGAAAGTCAAAATAAAAAAAAGGAAAAAAAAAACAGAAAAGAAAAGAAGAATTCTCAAGCGGACCGTGGCGTTGCGTCGTAAAATCTTAGGAAACGGATTTTCACCCTTCGTTCAACCAACCAACCACCACCACCACCACCGATCCACTTTCTTTTTCCCTCTTTTCCCATCACCCTCCTTCTCCTCCATCCACCCTAGGGACTATTTTATGGGAAAAAATCCAATGGTTTTAGTCGATTTCTCAATTCATTTAAAAACCTCCAACAAATTTTGTACGAAATCATTGAAACTTTTTTTATTGCGTGTATGCGAGAACCATAAATGGGTTGTGAGGGGTTTGGTTAGGGATGATTTATGATCGGTTTCAAATAAATTTTAACAGTTTTTTTTGTTTTCCTTTGTAATCGTTTAATTCGTAATTAATTATTTATATAAAGAAGAAGAAGAAGAAGAAGAAGACGAACGAATGTTGTATATTATTTTAAATGTAACTAGATAAGTAACTAGACTTGGGGATATCGATTGAAATGCGTAAGAAATGGGAACATAGTATTGTAGAACAAGCTTATTACCTTTCTCTCTCTCTCTCTCTCTCTCTCTCTCTCTCTCGTCTTGTTCTTTAATACGTTACAAAGAGAATACTTGAAAAGGTGAATAGATACCGATTACACTCGATAGCATCTCTTATTCACTCAAGCCAAGCTGAGTTAAGTTGAGTTAAGTTGAGTTGAGTTGAGTTGAGACGAGTCTTCGAAATTCTACGTGCCCTGATTTTTAAACTCTCTTTTCGAATATCCTTTTAAAAAAGATTCTAGATTGTCTGGAAAATAATCCGATACATATGGCATATCGGAATATGGGTTATCATAAATGTATGTGTGGGTGTGTGTGTAAATCCAGATCAATTATTTCTTACGATTTTATTGATTTATCAATCAATCAATCATGATTTCCTTATAACCTAGTTTTCATTACTCATAATATATATATATAAGATCTACGAAATATTTTTCTGCCCAAAAGATAGACAACCCGTCATACATGCGTGTATAAACAGTTTTCACTGCAAACAAATTCCGATTCCAGTAGATGTCACTCGCAAGCAACATTTGAAAAATGTGTCTGGAGTGTTGCATACGAACAGGCGCGCTCATTATTATATAATAATTAAATTAATAATTAAATTAATAATTAAATAAATAATTATACATATTAAAAATACAAATAATATTAATTATATCCTCGAGATTTATTTATTTGATGATTTCACTTTTAACTTGTGTGATATGCACATACATGTTTTTTTTTTCTTTCTTGATTTTGTTCTAATAGAATTTAAAAGTTGTTTTTGTGCATGCTTAGAAACAATGAGATATGATAGGTCAAAAATGTTGCAACATTTGATTGCAATAAATATTTCATCATAGATAGGAAATATAACGAAATTCAGATATTAAATTCGATAATAAGAGAGAGAGAGAGAGAGAGAGAGAGAGAGACAGAGAAGAGAGGGAAGAGAAGGGGAAAGCCTGAATACCAAAAACTTTCTCTTTAACCCGTATAATCTGGACCAAGGAATAACCGGTTGAGAGAACCGTTAGTTGTGTGTGTGTGTGTGTGTGTGTGTGTATGTGTCAGATAGAAAGAGAGAAAAAGATTGAGAGATATAGTGAAAAAGAGAAAGAGAGAGAGAGAGAGAGAGAGAGAGAGAGAAATAGAATCAGGGCAAATAGAGGCGCGTGAAGTTACAAGCAAATATTAGAATCTGCAGAAATGTTGAAGTTGTTTAAACATAGTGGCGAGTTTTAAAACGAGTACGCGAAAGGCACTTGCTGCTCATAAATATGTCATTTTATTTTTATTTTTTTATTTATTTCCCCTTCCCCACTCTTAGGAGACGTGAACCAAGCGATTATATTCAAATTGAAATTAAGAATTCGAAAGAATTAATTAGATAAATAGCAAAGTATTATATTTAGTAAAATATAATTATGTGAATATTCCATAATGATTTATATGTAATTCATTTTTATAATATATATATAGTACATTATTCTATAAATATTATTATAAAGTATAATAGTATAGTATATTATATTTATATACGTATATACTATATATACTATATAATATAATAATCTTATATATATATATATATATATCATTTATTTTTCTCCCTCGTGGATTGTTTTTTGATAACATCTCTGTGATCCTCCAGTTTGTTAGGGGGAATTTATTTGATTGAATATACGTGTGACGTTGGTCCTTCGTTCAAAACGTATCGTAAACGATTGAGAAAAAAACATAGAAAACAAAATATAATAGAAATAAATAAAAAAAAAAAAAAAAATCTATATAAAATAATACTCATGCGTGTATTTGATATGAAATTGTATAAGAGTGTAGATATTATACATTAATACATACAAATGAAACTGTATATTAACCGTGTAGATATATATATATATATATATTGACATGAAACGCATTTGCGAAAATCTTTCACATATAATAGGCTCCTCCCTATCTAAATCTAAAATCCTGGCTTAAGAGATAAACACAGTCTATTAGAGGGTTCCACACACAAGCAACCCTTACTGGGATTTCTCCAGGGCTACGATATAACGACTAGATCAAAGGTATCGAATTGACGAAGGGGTGGATATCTTTTTCTATCATTTTATCTCTCTCTCTCTCTCTCTCTCTCCCTCTCTCTCTTTCTTTTCCTCTCTTTTTAAACTACACCCCTCCTCTTCCTCACTTGTATCAACCACCAAAATTTTACTCCCACTTTAAATTCCTTTCTTTTTTTTTTCTTTCTTATTTTTTCTACTTGACGGTTTCTATTCTTTCACTTGTCTATTTACCCCCTCCCCTCCCCTTCCATCCCCTCCCCGTTCATTACATACAATTGACATGGCATAAAATGTTTAAAAAAATAAAATGAAATGTTTAACACGTTAAACTTGTTCTTCAGGCAACGTGTACCATTGGTGGTACACAAACTGAAAATATATGTTTATAACAAATTGAATTCTGTAGAAAAAACAATAATTAAATAATTACATTTAATGATTGATTTTGTTAAAGCAAAATGAAATGGGCTGAATGACAACAAGTCAGGTAAAAATGGGCTTGGTAAGGAACGTGTTAAAATAAAACATTAAAATAATAATAATGTAATAATAACGTAAATAAATATGATAAAATAATAATGTAAAAATAAAAACATTAAAATAATAATAATCAAAAATTATTAGTATTATTATCTTGTAGATAACTGAGCATATGCAATTGATTGTTATAACAAGAGGGGCATGGAATGATCAATACTGTTATAATTATACGAATTAATATAATTACAATAATAATACAAATAAGAACATTAATAAAATCGTTCATATTAAATTATTCGATATCACGAATATGAATTATAAATCGAATAAGATTAATTTATTTATTTATTTATTTATCTATCTATCTATCTATCTATTTAGCTATCTATCTATATCTTTCTTTGTTTCATGTTTCTCTTCATATCAATCTATATTTCTATTTATCTATATAATATCTCTACTTATTAGTCAATCTATTTATTTATTTCTTATTAATTCCCCCATTAATTCCTGATATGGTATATATTATATTATATTATTATTATTATTATTATTATTATATTATTATATAATATAATATATTATATTATATTATATATAATATATTATATAATTTTTTAATATTATATATATTATTATTTAATATAATTTAATATATACTATATAATATAATAATCTTATATATATATATATATAT